TATTTCAAGCATGACAGAGATTTTTACAGTATCAAATATCATCCATGAAGTCCATAACATATGAGAACAGGTTTATTATCACAGCATCGAATTTTTTTCTCTCGGCGATCCATTATGCATATCCGATAACTTGAAAATAGATTTTGACACATGTCACGTGATCTCTGGTATGGTGATAAATAAAAATAATACTATAAAGCGACGAAAAGTGGGGTTAGATAACAAAATATCCATAAACATTTCTTATTAAGTTGCTATTCCACCGAGTATTCCACATTCAGCGAGATATTCAGTTTCGAGCAATTTTTGGAGGAGGATTGGAAATATCTATATTTTTTTCGAATATTCTTCAATTTTGTTACAATTCTCTTTTTTTTTCTGACAGTAGTGTTGTTGATGATGTACAAGTTCAATAGAATTCAATTTCATGCTCACATATGGAGTTTCCAGCCATCATTTGAAAAAACTGTAAATAGCTATTTTTATTTTTTTTAAATAACTTCATCTTCCCATCTAATCCCACTTTTTGCCATCGTAATTTTTTGAATTTACCGCCATACCAGTGATCTAGTGACATGTGTCAAAATCGACTTTTAAGTAGTCAGACATGCATAATAGATCCCCGAGAAAAAATGTTTCGATATTCTACTAATAAACTTTTTCTCCATGTGTCACGAACTTTATGGAGGATACTGGATCTATATGTATCTATTATTTTGTATTCTATCATCACTTTTGATTTTGTTTTGAAAAAATGACATGTTATGATGTTATTCTACAAGATTTCTGAGGGGACTAAAAACATAGTTTTTTTGTTTCTTTTTTTCTATTTCGCTTTGGGTAAATGAATTAATTCAAAAAAGTCTGACTTGATTCAAAAAGTCTGACTTTGATGACTTTTTCATAAGAGTCATGACTTATTCCTGTAATTAAGAAGATAATTAGAAAAATAGTGTATATATCTCGGTATATATAGATGAAAAAAAAAGTGTATCACAAGAGATTAACATTTTCGAAGCCTAACTTACGAGAATAAAGGAATTAGCAGAAGAACTGCAGCACATATTTACAAAACCATTTGCCGCCCACTGCACTGAACAATTTGGAAATAGCAGAAAGAGCCAGCCTGAGAGCCATTAATAATAATAATTTTACGTCAAAATTCCGACTTATATCTCGGAATTTTAAAATTCCGAGTTATAACTCGGAATTTTACATCCAATATTCCGAGTTATAACACGGAATTTTAAAATTCCGAGTTATAACTCGGAATTTTGAAGAGTTTTTATTTTTTTATTTTATGTGTCCCTTCCAGGGCTTCGTATTAATCAATTCAGAAGGGGTTTTTTCGAAAATTTTTTTTGGTACTCACGTATTTTCGTCTGAAAAACACGAATTTCATAATGAAAATGTGAACAAACCCTTATTTATTAAGATATTTCACTATAAAGTTACAAATTTCACCATCTTTTCCGCCTGTCTTCTGGATCACATTTAGAACAATTTGCCCTTCTTTTTCCATCATTGGACAATTTATATATATCACACAATGTTGAACACACTTTTTTTATTATATGAGTCAACTAGAAATATGATTTTCTTGTGATTTATCCATGTTTAGTGAAAAGAAGGAAGAATATCATTTGAAATAATGGCGTGTGTAATGTCATTCCAAAGCAATCTATTGACATTTGACATCTCTGTTGAATTTTCTATCTTAAAATGTGTCAGTGAAGTACATCATGAGTATCATGAGTATATAAAGTGTCCAATGACAAAATAATAAGAGCAAGTACCTGTAAATGCATCCAACACAAGGGGGAAAAGAAGGCAAAATTTCGAACTTTTTTTTGAAATATCTCGATAAATAGTGGTTTGTTCACATTTTCATTATGAAATTCTTGTTTTTCAGACGAAAATACGTAAGTACCAAAAAAAATTTTCGAAAAAAACCCCATCGCATGATATATAAGTGCACTTTTACCTAGACGGTTCTTCTTTTTTTTACATTAGCAAATTTAATAATTCCATATATCTTGTAATACATACAATAATGATGAATTTAAACTCAATGTATAATCACTGTGTAACACCGGCTGAAGGAACGCGGTCGGTAGCCTTTTGGGTATCCAATAAAGCTCCTTTTATTATTTATAAAGTGTATATAGGTAACATATTTTCCGATTATTTTTACAGTAACCTTCCTTTCTACAGAAATTCACACTTGATAAGGTCGAAAACTTCAGTTCGTTTATCAGTGAGGCGACTCTGTATAGAAGAATAATTATTACTGTTGCCGGGAAAATGAAAAATAAATGGTTTATAGAAATGAAACCGTTAGAGCAAAGAGCATAGGGCAAAGTATGTTTATTCTGTGTACGTATCAGATATTACCAGACTGAAATCTAATTAGGCTCTGAATTAGCCTTCATTGAGAGCAATATTGGAGTGTTCCATTCACAGCAGCTGAAGCAACAGAAAATTGTTGAAAAGCTGTATAGCTACCTATATACCGTCATATTTCATGCCGTGATAGAATCCTTTGAAAAATTGAACGCCTATAAATGTTTTTAATTTTAATTCCTATGAGCAGTATGCCTACTCAGGAGAATATATTGAAACAATGTTTGGATTAACATAAAAATGACCCAAAGTTATAACTGTAACACCAACCAATCATAATTCATTAATAATAAATTCTATTTTTTTTGTATTACTTTTTTCTTCGAATCTGTTTTTATGGAAACAAAAAATACTGGAAATGTTATGCTGAGTGGAATCCTTTTGTCGTGTGATTTTTCCCAGCAATTGTTTGTTTTACATAGTATAAATGGTGTATAGCACCACTATTCAATTAGATGATAATCTCATTTGCATACAATATCTTCCAGGATACAGAAATTCCGGTCGTTAATTCATGGTTCGCCCTCATTATAATACTTTTTTTACAAAACCCAAGTTTTCTTTCTACGTTGGTCGATAATATTTCGAATGTTATAAGTAAGTAATTAAACGGTAAGTATACCATTAGTTCATGTATGATTCACTGTGCATATAGTTCTATCGAAACCTAACTATATTTTCAATCGGCCCTAATTTTTTCGAATAAAAAACCTCACAAAATTTTTCTTCTGATATGATATGAAGGTTTTCTGATTGCAAGTTGAGCAATATTATTTTCTTATCCTACAGAGTAATCGAGAGTGCAATTGCTAATTGCAGCATGCAAAAAATCAAAAGTAATAATTGTCTGTTCTCATCTGATGATTATAGTATTCGCCCATTGGAACTTGGCAAGACGCTGTATCCAATGAAAAAGAAAAAGCACCGGTGATAAGAGTGTTATTGACCCTATTTTTTTCAAGGAGTTTTAAAATTGATAATTTTCACTATATTATCTGCATCGTACAGTTATTATATGAACCAACTCAGTGAGCAACACTTTGAATTTCAAATAAGTATGAAGAGTCAGTCATGCCAAAATTAATTGCTGCTATCTATATTAATTATAACGATGGTGATTCTATGTGTTGTGTCTGCCCATGTTCTATAAATTATATAACTGTTTCTGTACATTTTTATTGCCTAAAATAATCTACATAGAAAATTTGTATCGAAAACATACGAAAGCGTAGAAGGGCCACTGTTGTGAGACTTTTTTCTCTGAATTCTGACTTCTCTTGGGCATGTGTATACCGGGTGACACAGGGTAACGGGCCACCCCTGTAACTTCTGCATTCGTAAACGGATTTTTCTGGAATTTGGTACAGTAATATAAGCAACCATTTCAAAAGGAACACCCTGTATACTCTTACATATTCAAATTCAACAGGTGAAAACAAATGCAATCTTATGACAAGATTAGGAAATGTTGTTTTCCACAGCTAACTTGAAAAATTATTCGAGCTGCAAGAAAGTTCATGAAGCTAATGATTTTTGAATGTATACAATTTGTTACTGCACGGAAATACAAACATGATATATAATGTTTTACCTTAATGTATTTTCTAGACCGAAAGACATGTAAGAGGGTATCAAATTTTCTCAAAAGTTATTTTTCGATGGAAAATACCCTCTTTTCATGATCTATTTGTGATGTTTGACTCAAAATATGAGAGGAACAATGAAAAGAATAATTTCAAAAATATTATAGTAGGTACCCCATTGAGAAAAAGTACTATTTTTATTACGTAGCAGATGATGATGATGATAGGTTCATATTTCCTGCTCAACCTGCCGAAAATTGCATAGAAAAAAAGGTGGGGGAAAGGAAAGTAATATACATGTACAACATTTAGTTGACTCAATACAAAGTCTTTCGGAAATATTTACGAAAACCCACCATCTTGGGCTTGAACTTTTTGTACTATTTTTGTTCCTAGAATCTGTGGTTGAAATCTTCCTATGTAATATCGGGATACCCTGTATAATATCAAGAAATTTTTCAATCATATCAGATGATCATTTGTCGATTGCAGGAATGATTTCATTAGAGCGTTTAACAGTTGTTATCAAACAAAATGTGTTTCAAGGATACTACCTACTGAAAAAATGTCTGTACAAGGCATTTATTTTTTCTGCAAGGAATACGTGATTTTCTGCAGTATATTTTTGAAACACTGTGTATACACATGCTCATATAGAAAATATAAAATGTAACTTTTTTGAAAGTTTCTGAGGATATAATATCCAGTTTTTCTCACGAAAATAGTTTTTTTTTCTCTTTCTTGAAGTGTGTGGTAATTCGACTAACATTTTCTCACATTTACGTAAAAACTACCTGCCAGTCTTCTTTTATCTGTTTTTTTCTTTTTGCAAAAACATTTTTCAAAGCCGCAAGAATGAGTCATTAGGACAACTGGAAATGCTAATCGTGTTAAATTCATCTGGCGACACTGTTCGACACCATGTTACATTGGCCAAACAGGACGCAAATTGCACCCGCACGAACCAAATAACATCCAGCGTTGTAGAAAACCGGGTATTCGTTCTTGTTCCAGATTTAAATGGAAGCATTTCACAAAAATGGAAGAGACTCAGGAAATGCTGCGCCTCGCTCAGAGGCGTCAGTTCGCACAATTCGGAAACCTCAAAAAGTACTCTGCTGGAATCATCGCCTCCGCATATTTTAATCGGCACTCCTCACACCACCTCTTCGTTGCGTATACCAAATACTACAAAGAAAAACACCGTCCAAGATGTCTTGAGAGCGAAGCTAAGTCAAATACACGTAGGTGAGTGACCCAAAAAAATATTTTTGTTGAATTGATTCGTCCATTGCTTAATGGGAATACATAGTAATTGAGAAATAAATTTATATTGCTTGTTCCCAGAGTTTGTCACATACGGTCTTATCAAATTATGTGTTTTCAAGAATTCTGCGGGAATCTTTGTTTTTGTTGTTGCGAAACATGATGGTTTGTTAGTACAAGACAATTTCCGTTTATGAAGTGATCACAATCCAAGTTACCAAGATAATAATAATAATAATAATATATCGTCTTTATTATTTCCATACATAAAATAAACATCAATCTCATCTTATAAATACTATATAAGTGGAAATAAAGGGCGAAGTTCATTTCCTGTAAATCAAGGATTTCCAGATAATGCTCTTTCTGATGATCAACCCTGTAATTTAAGCTATAACGTTTTGAAGATTGAGGAACATCCAATTTTGCATTCATTCCTCCTTCTATGGGCCATTTTTAATTTCATAGAAATCGTATCAATAAATTCAAAGTTCTAACGACCCAGAAGTGGCTCTGTAGATGGTCACCCGCGGGTATATATAGGGTGATTTATGATTAATATGCTTTATGGCCTGAAGACTGATACAGAAAGCTAAAGGCGAGTTGTTTTTTTGCTAATTTGCCAAAAAAAATACAGATTCCGATTAGTTTTTGGTAAATATCGACACTCTTTCTCTTCAATGTGTTCAGGATTTTTTTCATGTATCTTTTCTTGGAACTCTCTGTGCCTATACGAGTTTGGTTAAAAGCATGTTAATAAACAACATTATTTCCCTATATTGAAGCAGACTCATGAGTGTGTTTTTGCTTCTGCCTTGCAATCATATCTAATACTTAGTACCTACCTGTATGGATAACATCTACTTATATTATTTTCTGATATACATGTAACCGAGCATATAACGTAAAGCCAATACTACTGATATTTCATTGACTTCAAACCTCATGCTCATATGATAAGTACTCACAACCTATTCAGTTTTATTTTTTTTTGTATTGACCAAAAAAAAAACTCCAATACAAGTAGAGTCCAACCGTGATTGCCAATTCTGTTATAGTATACTCAATCTTTACAGGAAAATACGGTGAGGGATCTTATATCTTTTGCCAAGGAAATAGTCATTTTTAGAGATACAAAAAATTTATTACCTATACCTAAAAGATGAGGAGTTTCCTTCCAGTGTGTATAGTTAGAAAAATCTAGTAATCTAGAGATCACTTGTCTATATATAAAGACGACATAAAATAACTGTCCAGTGCTCCTCATCTAATATTGTCCGACTTCCATTCGTCCAATTTTCTGACATCGCTCTCGAATCCCTTGCCATCTTCCACCAATATTCTGCTATCCATATAGCTATTATCACTAGATCTACGTTACTCTGACCTCACCGGAATAGTGGCAAATCCGTTCTCCTCCAGGCCTAAGAAAGCGTCGAGCTCTGTCCGTCCAGGAGTTCTTCCACCACCCCAACCCCGAAAAGAACCCCACCTTCTACGTCCCGGCTCCGGACCCCAACAACGAGCTGCCCCCCAGGAGGGCCAGGTCGAGACAGCGAACGGTCAACTCCTTCACTTTCACCCCCTCGCAGAGCAAGGAGTACATTAAGTGGGAGCCCCCTTTGCCGTACGAGCCGCCCCCGGATTACGATGTGGACGACAAACCGGCGCCCAACAGGCGGTGGTCGGTGGTCACTTTTGCTAGGACGGCGGAGAAGCCGGTTAAGACGAGATTCGAGAACGCCGACATCAAGATACCGAAGACGAAGTTGAACAGGTAGATGAGTAGAGGAGCTAGAGGAGTTCCAGCTCATCTCGAACGATTTTCCCATGTAAATCTCCATGAGAAAAGTTGAGGTTAGAAATACCGTAAATGGTCGTCGGTCTGGAAGTCGAACTTTTCTTATGGAGATTAACATAGGTGAAGTGGTCAAAATCAGCTGGAACTCTTCTAGCGATAATATGACAAACTCACAATATACCAATCCAACTCGCGATTGTAACTTTTATATCAAAACTGCTCTACATTCTCTACATCATTTTATAAGCCCATGCCATTCCAACCAATTAGTGCTCATTCCTCATTCAATATACCCTAACAAAGGGTGATCAGTAGGGAAATTCAGTAGGTGTTGATTTTTATTCAACTACATATCCAGAACATAAAAAACTCAATAACATCATAATGACTTGGTACATTTTGAGGCATCTTCTCAGATGCAGCCATATGAAACATTTATGAATTTTTCGTACACTACTGAATTGGATTTAGCTGATGGCTCTCTGGGAATGCATCATTTTTGGAAATTATTTAGGTTGATATTTTGACCATTTTGAGGTGCTCTTCACACGATCCCGTGGAGAACAATGTGGACCCTCTGAAGAAAAAGGACCCACTCGGAGTGGATGGAGTCGTGTCTATAGTGGAAGTATAGCAATATAACGTATGAATTCATTTGATGCTCTAATATCCCTTCTGATAATGAGATCAGAACGAACGTCGCACGGCTGTTTCAGAATTCCTCTGGATATATGATTTATTTTGGATTCTCAGTTTCTTGATTCGAATCACTGCATTTCTGATAACTTTTCATCTGGACGCAATATATTCTTCATAATGTCTAATAGGTGATGCAGAAATGATCTGCAAAAAATCTTGATGACCGAAATGCATAGAAAAATCAAAATGAACACAACACAAAAGCAATAGCCTTATAGGTTCATAAATATAAGCATAAAATATGAACTTGAGGGGTATGAAATTCCGAAATTCATTACATATACGTTATAATACATACTTAGCCTTTCTGTGGAACACGTGCAGAATATTATCGGGAAAAAAATTTAGGAAATTGATGCGATGGCACTGATGGCAGTTTGTTATTGGACTACACTTATAGTTCTTGAGCTTGAAACCGTCAATACCTGCATGATCAATGTCACAAAGAATTAGAGGAGAAGAGTCCATTATGAGACACATTATGCACTAATTTGTTAATGTCTTACCTTAGTTCCTAGTCCGACTTTTACTCATATTATTTATACATATACTTCTGATGATGACACTCGTTATTGTTTGTAAATATTGAAACATGTGAAAGATCACTTCACTCCACATCGATTACTACTTAGTTCATAGTTCATTATTACACAGCCGTTAGTTGAAGACGGCTGTGATTATTATGTTATTATTTATATTTATATGAACAGGTCGGCGGATCGGGCGAGATCGCAGTCGCCGGGCGGCGGCCGGAAAGAGCCGAGCTCGGCCGAGGGAAGGCGAGTGGGCAGCTCGAAGAGCCAGTACGAGCTAGTCGGAGCGTTGAGGAGGCACGAGAAAACGGAGGTTAGTGACACGCTTGCGCATTGATAAAATATGAGCTTTCTACACGAGGGAAATGAATGAATTCCAGGGTATTCCAGTGAATTTCGCGGAGTTTTCACACAAGAATTTTTCGTACACTTTGTGGAAAATCAAAGAAATCCTTCAGGTAATTTCAGGAAATATCTCGAAAAAGTGATTATGAGTGATGAATACTAGCAATTTTGGTTTCTGTTCGATTGGTGTCGAAGAAATATCGATTCCGGAATGTTTTATTTTGACCCCTTGTAAAAAAATGGTAAAACCTCTTGAAATCACAATTCCGATTAACATGGTGTGCATACTTACGTCCAATAAGGTATTTCGAATTCCTGAACTTGATCAATGTTACCTGATGAACTCAAAATTAATGTAATTTACCATATACATACAGTGCGTTTCTTTGATGCCTTCCCCCTCCTTTATTTTTTGAACGGGTCAGCGAAAGAAATTGGAACTTGGGGTAATGCTATATTTTGGAGTAAAATTGTCAGATGAAAAGATGGTGACTGGGCGCCTGGGGAAAAAATAAATGGAAAACAGGGTCTTGTGATAAATCTTTTCGAAGCTCCTGACGAATACTTAACAACCCTAGAACATAAAGGCGATATCTTCACTTACTACAAAATTGCGGAACATTTAATAATTGCCTGAATACATCGTCGTTTACTACATAATTTGAGGAAATAAGCTGAGTTCAGTTCAGAAGATGCTCGAAATGGTTGCCTTGAACTTCTTGACATAAGAACATCCTATCCAATATTTCATGCCAAACACTTTCGAACACAGTTATACGTCGATATTTCTACAAATATTTATCAATCTCTATCGTATATACAATATCGAAGCAGATGCAGTTTCGTACACATTTTGCTTCAAATAGCTCCATAAAAAAGGTCTAAAGGTTTCAAATCTGGCGAGCGGGCTGGCCAATCCTTAGGACCTCGACTGCCAATTCAACGACCAGGGAAAATATTATCCAAATGTTCCTAACTTGTCCGGAGTAATGTGGTGGTGCTCCATCTTGTTGGAATAGAATATCCATATTAATGTGTTTGTATATTCAGGCGACTATTAAATGTTCCACCATTTTGTGGTAGGTGATGATATTAACTTCATATTTTGGGGTTGTGAAGTATTCGTCAGGAGCTTCAGGAAGATGTAACACAGACCCCCCTTTCCATTTAATTTGGTTACCCATATGGCGCCCAGTCGTCATCTTGGAATTTTCATTTGTCGATATTACTCCAAAATATATGTAGCATTCATGCATCAATTTCATTACCACAAGTTTCAATTTTTTCCGTTGACCAGTTCAAAAAATAAATTGGGGGGACATTAAAGAAAAGCACTGTATGGATGATCACTGAGAACTCGCGCCTCATATATAAATAAGAGATCCATAAAATACAAAATTATGTACCTTTCCCATATTTTCATACTTTGAGAATAGCTGTTCCATAAATGTTCCTTAATAGAAAAATGGAAAGAATGTTCACGGTTTTGCCAGCTAGTTTTCTATTTTATGGTCCACACCCTCTTCGTATGAGTGATTGGGTCCGGCCCTGTCCCGATTTGCAGTTGATTACTACTTGGTTGATGGTTGATGTGTGCGATGAATTTTCCTGATCTTTATATCTAAAACGTCGTGGAAGACTCTGTTACATTGTCTTCATTATAGAGATTATTGTTGTTGGCCTTATTGGTTTCAAAAAAACTATGATGAAGAACTTGCGTTGAAATTTAATTTCGAGACGATTACTTCCTCTCGGCTGTGCTACTGGTTGGTAGTAAACTTGAACGGAAGTATAATAATTTGCATTTCTTGTAACCTCTACCTCGTACAGGATGTAACACGGTCTTGGGTGAATATGAAGTTGTGTCCACTCAATTTACTGTAATGTTCTTGAGTGCTTCTGAAAGACAAAGCAAAGAAACTCCATTTGAAACCAACATGCATGTACGACTCGAACGTGAAAAAAAACAGTTACCTATATGTTTTTTGTTTGTTTTATGTCTAGACCTAGCTTGGCCCAAGAGTTTAGTTGGATCATTGAGAAAATGCAGATAAAGAAAACCAATATGGAATTTTAAAGATATATTTAACGACTAGTACGTGACGGTATTGGATTTCACCTGGAAATAAATTTTGTTGGCACATGTAACCATGTATGTACATTTACACGGGGTGTCTTGAATTCTCATTTTTGCGGACACCTTATAATTTTCGGGAATAATAGGAAAAAAATCAGAAATATTGGCCAAAATGGAAATTGTGAATTTCAAACGTTCGACATTTTAAATGGAACTAGGTGCTTTTTAAGTAGTTGGGAAGTCCAAAGAGATAGATCCATTAAAATTTCCATGGAATTTTATGTGTATTGAAACAATCATTAGCGATCTGATTGTTCACGTATGCAAATCGCTATATGACTCATATATTGAACATAATAACTATTTACCATAGGTAGAAACATTATTTGGATCTGCTTTGACCGCAGGCCGAACCTCCAGACCACATCATCACCTTTGCATACCAATAAGAATATGGATTGATTCTTGCTAAGAATTGGTGTATTCACACTATACAGGGTGGTACACAACAGGAGTTCATCCACAAATCTTTAACTATTTTATTTATAATCTATCCATAGATTTTTATTGCAAATTTACAACTTCTGTAAAATAGATAATCTCATACCCACACAGGATGTTCCGCAAGTACGTGTGGGAAATTCAGTAGCGCATTTGCTGACGTCGAAATCCGAATAAAACTTCCTATAAAACGTAAGTCTGTGAGTCCACAATCTACAGTGCCTTTCTTCAATGGGTCAACTCAAAAAATTGAACTTCGAATGATGTAATCGATGCATGAATACTATATTTTGGAGTAACCTTGACGTATGGAAATTTCAAGATGGCGACTGGGCGCCATCTGAGAAAAAAACTGTGAATGTCACATCATTTTGAAGCTCTTGACGAATACTTCGCAACCCTAGAATATAAAGTGAATATCTTCACCTACACAAAATGGTGGAGCATTTAATAATTCCCTGAATACATATATCCCCAGTTTGTCTGGAGTAATGTAGTGGTGCTTCATCTTGTTGGAATACAATATCCATATTAATGCGTTTGGATTGAGGCAACTATCGAATGTTTCGTCATTTTGTAGTAGGTGAAGATATTGACTTCATATACTAGGGCTGTGAAAAAATTCGTCAGGAGCTTCAAAAAGATGTGTCACAAGATCCCCTTATCCATTTGATTTATTTTCTCAGATGGCGCCCAGTCGCCATCTTGAAATTTTCATCTTTTAGTTTCACTCCTAAATATACTATTCATGCACCAATTGCATTATCCGAAGATTCAATTTTTTCAGTTGACCCGTTCAAAAAATAAATGGGGGTTGACATTGATCCACCCTATTTTCATATCGCTCTGTATCTCGAAAACGACAAACTTAAGGACCCCTGAATCTCCCAAACGTACTTAAAAATCATCCTGTATATTCATCAATAGTCAATCACCAATGAATACCTATTCCAACGTAACTCACATCGCTGATGGTATTGTAGATCTTTAAGAGGGTAAATCTATTAAGAGGGCGAATCTATTGAGAGTGCTAATCTATTAAGAGGGGGAAAATATTAAGTGGGCATCAATTTATAAGGGTTTAACCCACGAAATAATAAGAGTTAGTATCACCATGAATAATTAACAGTTCTACTTTCGAAATCATATGGGATTCAAGGGACAATTATTATTAGTTTAGCCCCCATTTCACTGAATAAAAATTATTCTTTGGCGAATGAAACGGTTATCGAAACAGTTGAAGGAACACAGACTAATATAGCACAAGGTCCCATTGAGAAGACAACATGTCTCTTCATGTGAATTGTGAATGCAGAATTGATAAAATTAAAATAGATTGCAGCTGTCCGAATGGAACATGTGGGACGATAAGAAGTGGAAGCACACTTTATGTAATTATTTGCTTACGAATAATATGGCGATAATGACGTATGGAATTATATTTTTCAATACTTTTCCCATCGAACATCAACTTGAAAGTTGATGTTCGATGCTTCTACCTATCAGTTGAAAACGAATGTCCAGGGGTGTACTTAAAATTATTCCAAGGTACCACCAAAAAATTCACAGAATTCTCTATCCCATCGTATCTGATATCGCTGTATTAAAATATTATAAATCTCTAAGAGGGTGAATCAATTAAGATGGCTACAAATAATTCGAACCCGCATTTTTTTTATGTTCTGGGTCCCACGAAAAGGGATATCCTGTAATGTTCAGAGAACATCGTGAGAACCAAGGGAAATAAGGTAGGAATTGGTGTTCTTCTCAAATTTCTGGAGGTATCAAATGATTGGGGTATTAACCCACAAAATGACGGGAGTCTGTTATACAATGAATAATTCGCAGTTTTGCTCTGAAATAAAATATGGGTTTCAACTTCGGAAGTATCAAATGACAATTATTATTACTGGTTCAGTCGTGAGATAACACCGTTATTTTTCTCTTGATCTGTTTGATCTCTCATTTTTTTGAGTTTTGAGTCATAGATTATATGAAAACCATGCGTCCTCGTAGTCGAGATGACCAAAGTATTTCGCGCTCGAGTTGCAAACAACATTTTTTCTACAAACGTCGAATAATATAGTTCTAAAGTAAAAATATGCTTAGCTTGATAGATAGATATCAGTCTTACAGTTGGTAAAGAAAATGCTTCAATTATTTCCATACTCTGATCAGAAGACTATAATCATCGCTTTTTTGTGAATGTTTTTATTTTTTTTTTCAAATTTCTTGTAACACCGATGAAATATCGCTGCGATAAGTTCTCTGCGATATATTTTTTGCATTGTAATTGTGACATGTTATTTGTGATAGAAAAGCGAAGTGTTTGCGATAAAACTACGATGTGATGCGAGATGACACATCAGTTAAACGAAAAGATCAGTTACTCGTATTTGTATTCAAAAGGATGTAGTATGTGTCGGCGAGATGTAAGCAAACCAAGAACAGTTCGATCGCAATGTAACGAATATTTGGGTATCAAGCTCGACTTTTTTGAGTAACGTATATATCCATGTATTGTTTTTCACCGAACAAGAATCAAATTTTTGAAAAGTGGTCATGTCGCAGATGTGTTTGCTCCTGTACATCGCAGCGATAGAACATTCGTAATATCGCAGTGTTGCCTCATCGCGACATCTCAGAGATGTCATGTCGCAGATGTGTCTGCTTCTTTTTATCGTAGCGATGTAATTTTCGTAATATCGCTGTGTTTCCTCATCCGTCATCTCAGAGATGTCATGTGACAGATGTGTTGGCTGAGATTCTTGTTCGAATCATGTTTCATCGTCTTATTAACCGTTTTTCATGTTCATGAAACACCCTATGCATGCTCAGCCCGTTTTGATAGCTTTGTCTGAAAGTTTCTCCATTAAATTCCAGTTGTATAAACGCAATGTCGAGCTCTCTATTTGAAATGTCGTATGATTTATGTCTCTTTGAATTAATTTGTATTCATTATATTCGGAGCAATCGTTGCTCATTTTCCACAACAATGATAATAATGGACATATTCGACCACCGTACCGTACTCTGGCTATGTACCTTGTACCTACTCTCGGAATCCGAGTGGGCTCTAACGATTATGGTTTTTCTAGTCAATTAAATTCCCTCGATTTCCATGTTGAGGATCACATAAAAATGCACCGTTATTCTTTTATCGGTGTTATGACTGATTTGTTTTTGTTTATATTTTCGCCCACTTGAAAATGAGCCCGTTTCATCATTTCAGAGTTTTAGGTACCCACGACACTACTTACGGATACTTCAGAATTTATGGATGAGTGTGTAACACTTCAAATCTGTTGAAACTAATCAAAGCGTAATATGCCCTCTATACCATTTATTAACACTACTTGAGCTTTATGTGAATAAATCTAGACTTTTATGAATCGACATTCTTCTATCTATTTATTTACAGAAAATCATCATAAAAATTCGAATCTTTTTTGGTTCATCTACTTTACAGGGTGTCAAAGTATCAATAAAAAAATCGTTTCTATCAATAACTCAAAATTCTGTTTTCCAATTCCAATGAAACTTGATGATTTTGTTAGCACTATCAAAAAGCTTCCTTTGGTGTAATTAGATTCGAAATAATGATTCCAGTTGGGTCGCAGTGGGTTACCTTTTCGATATTTATGGTAAATAACTAAATAAGGTACCTAACTTCATAGTTCCATATTTTTATCAGATTAAACAATTGAAAATAAAACGTTCTTGTCCCCTAATAATTTTTCTTATATCACATTAGTTTCCGAAGAAATAATGAAAAATTTGGGTGTCCCTCAAAACACCCATTGGGATTACAATGAGTATTATCCTGTTAATTTGAGACTTTTTCACCGCAACGAGACTATAAGTTTTGGCATCATGAATGCTTATACAGGGTCATCATGAAAAACAACACTGTTTCTTGAAAACGAATCATTTCAGAACCTTTGTTTACAGGAACTTTTCGTCTTAGAATCACCCGAATAATCGCCCTGTATGTGTTCCTGTTTGATCCATCACACCAGTTTCTTCCATTTCGATTGAACGATTTGCAATTTTCATTTTTTGGAACTAGCTATCCCTCTAAATCAATTCAGTGATACAGAGTGTTTGCTGTACACGCTACGAATTATCAATAATGGTGGAATTTAAAAATGGGAAAAAAACGAGAAAAGCCCAAGGGATTCGGAATTTCCAGGGTGATGGAGGTGAAGCTAATAGATCAAACATACACATACATACACATACTATTTACACTGTGATTTTGTTTAAACGAAAGAACTATTCTGTATCTTAGGTAATAATATATTGAACCTTTTATCTACTGAGTGACCCATTTGAAATGGGGCCACATAAATTCTTTATCTATGGAGCGATTTTCACGAATTTCCATGAAATATAGAGGGTTGAAAGTTGTATTTTGGAGCCAAGCTGCGTCCATTTTTTTATAAAACCAAGACCTACTAGATCACATTCTGAGGCTGAAAATTCCAGAATCCTTATTAGCGATTTTTTCAGTAAAAAACGCGTACACCACTGGAATCAGCGTCGTCTGAAATAGATCTGTACCAGGTTTAATGAAAAAGGACAGTGCCGTGCTTTTTTATTGAAATAAAAAGGGGTAAATTTTTCATGAAATTATATTAAGAATTTTTTTACAGGATAACTGACCTAATAATATTGTTCTTCATAATTTCAAAGCCCCATAATAATATATACTTTTACATATTCCTATGAAGGGTTTAAAAATACAGGCACATATTTGAACAGCATTTTTGCGAACGTAATAATTATTTACTAGGAAACGCGAGTTCAACATAAAATAGTATCTATTGTTATTTTTTCATATATCACGATTTTCTACCTACCGGAGATATTAAATTCTCCTAATTTTGCAGTTAATTTGAATTCGCTATTTTTCCAAGGCTGAAAATGAAAGGAATCAAGCCAATTCTGTTAATTTGGAATGAGGTGATTTCTTTGCATATGCATGGAGGTTCGAAAACATGAGGAACAGTAAATATGAAGTGAGTTATCTTGCAGAAAAAAAACCTAATGTGATCCCTTTTATTCCAATAAAAACGCACGGCACTGTTCAACAAGATGTTCGTCTTTGCAAAACTGATCATACCGATGGCTATTCATACCGGTGCCAATTTAAGATCGCACGTCTAGCTGAGATATAGAGGGGGGGGGGCGATTGAAATGAAACACGCTGTAGATTTTAGATTCGTTAATGTTGAATAGTTTTTCATGAAACTTGGTACAGATCTATTTCAGAGGACGCCGATTCCAGTGGTTGGCCTTGGTTTTTTGAAGAAAATTGACGCCTTTCAGCTCCAGAATACACTAATCTATGCCTCATCTACATTAAAAAAGGGAAATCGCTGAATAAATGAAGAATGTATGAGGGTGGCCCGCTTTCGAATGGGTCACTCTGTATATCGATGCATGCAATATACCTTCAATCTTTTCTGATGAAACCTACAATGTCTTTTTGTAACGATCGCCTAGTAGGTGTATATCATTACTCGGTGATACTTGATCTATGATTATTTTTGTATGTATGTTTTTATATAGGCTGCAATTGAAGAACTGGAAGAAATAGAAGAAGAGGAGAGCAAATTCTGCACGTTGCCTCGAGGAGGCAATACGTTCACCATCCGCCAGGTGGTTTTCCAAAAAGGTGCTGAATTCAAGCCGCTCGGCTTCAGCATAGTCGGAGGAAGAGATTCTCCTAAAGGCAGCATCGGAATTTATGTCAAGACCATTTTCCCCAACGGGCAGGCAGCTGACAATGGCACATTGAAAGAAGGTCGGTATTATAGGTCGCGTGCACGATGGCCGACCCTGGTGGTAAAATATTGAAACACAACCTCACTTTTCTGTAAAACATCGAAACACAACCTCACTTTTTGCATCTGCCCCTACTTCTCGGAACAATATGGCCTTGATTCATTGTTTAAATTGAATAAATGTTGATGGTGGATATTATTTGGGGCTACCCTATCGCTCAGTTACACTTGTATCAGTTCTATCACGATCACGATAGAGATTTGGTCAAAAAACTATGTTATATCACACGTTGCATCAACGTGATGAAATTGAGACATACTATAGACGTCATCACAAACGAGACCAATCAAAGAAGTTATAGGAACTGTGTTTCATCCCATGTTTCATTAACAATGATCAAATTGACTCATCCGAGTTCATAAAATTGCATAGCAAGTTTTATCGATGTGATAAATGCCATCAAATACACTAATAAAACACATTCCAAAAAATGATTAAGTGGAACATCTCTGTGATAAAACTGGGAATGATTGTAAAGCAACAATGATAAAACTGCTGATGGTTATTTTGGTTAACTAGGCTACAGCTACAGCTACAGCTTCGATAATCCTATTGGGGAATTTTTTTTTCAATTTCTAACGAGTTGAGCAGTCATCATTAGGTACCTTAATGATGACTGCTGTACCTGGATACTGGTACTTGATTTGAATAAAAATTCCCTACTAATATGATCCAACATTTTCCAGAGTCAAAATGTCCAGCCAGTTCTTCATCTAGTCGATCAGGTTCATCTTTGTCCATCGGGAATTGCGATTCATCAATATTTTTATGACCTAATTGACTTATTTTTATTGATCATGTGATCAAACAAAACATATACAGTTGAAGCCCTACATCAATGATTATTGTTGATTTTTCCTAATTATGTTGATGAACTTATACAGGATTTCTGAAAATCATGATAAAATAACTAGAATGTTTCTTCCTCAAAGTACATTTTTTTATGAGTGTACCCATTCGCTTCAACTTAATTTGGCACGCTTTTCCCAAATTTGACATGGATTCTCAGAAGGGCCTAAATGACTGCTCTTAACATTCAGTTAATGATCCGTTACTTATTTGTCTGATTTATAAATTTTGAGGACACACAAAGCACAAAGAGCAATACATTTCTTCAAAACTACCCTCTTGTTGCAACCCAAATTTGCTAGCTTCGGAAACAATAACATTCTTGAAAACTAGTTTACAAATTTCAAGACAATGTGGAAAGAATTGGTAGGTAATGCAAAAAGTCATAAGACAATGATATACAGGTTGGGCCACCAGTAACGCCTCGGTCTCTAGAAGGCTAACCACTTATCTTCTTGGAATTCTTCCTCTCTAGGAAGTTGCATATCAACATAGGCTACCATTTGAAATTATTTTGAAACATACAGGATGTCCCCAAAAATCACAAAACACTGAAGTTGAACTTCAAGAATTTTTTGTGTCTAAACCATTCATAATTGGTCAAAACGGCTCACATGTCCCTATCTCAACTTTTGATCAACTATCTACTGACATTTAATTGAAACAAATACAGGGTGGTGCAGAATTCAGAATCTTGATCACCCGGTATATGTCCTAATTAAATATCAGTAGATAGTTAATCAAAAGTTGAGATAGGGACATGTAAGCCGTTTTGACCAATTATGAATAGTTTCGACACAAAAAATTCTTGAACTTGGAAAATCTCGATTTTTCACACCCTATATTTCAGTAATTATAACTGCTAGACCCCAAGTATGATGGGTCGTTGAAATCAGCTCATCAGGGAGAATCTCAAAATGAAATAATATATAGGGTGTTCGATAGAAAAAAGTTCAACTTCAGTGTTTTATGGTTTTTGGGGAGACCCTGTATGTTTCGAAATGATTTTAAATGGTAGCCTATGTTGACATGCAACTTCCTAGAGAGGAAGAATTCCAAGAAGATAAGTGGTTAGCCTTCTAGAGACCGAGGCGTTACTGGTGGCCCACCCTGTACATTTACTGTGTCCAAGATGAGGATATCTCTATCATGGGGATCTCAGAAGCCATAGGAGATACGAAGATGGTTAGAATTACAAAATTTAGAAATACTGAGTGGTTCCAGAGATATGCCTAAAAACAGGAATCTACCGACTTCGTTTTCATTTTTTTCTGACGTTTTTAAAGAGATATACGAAAATAAAAGACAGTCTTTCATTGCTACTCTTCAAGCTCTACAAAACAGCGTTGATATATTTAGAAGAGGGTGTATTTTTTTCACGGGCCATATAAACAATAAAGTTGATGATGGTTTCTATCCGAAACGAAACGCTCTGAAAATGGCAATATTTTTTTGTTTTTCTATATCTCTTCGAATAACGCCAGAAAAAATGAAAATAAAATCGAAAAGTTTCTGTTATTTAGGCATTTCTCATGGACTACTCGGAATTCTAAAACATTCTGAACAGCATATTGTTAGGTTTGAAAATGCTCAACTTTGCTTCAATTCAATCTCATCTTCGTATCTCTTATGGTTTCCGAGATCCCCATGATAGACATGCTTATCTTGGACACATTGTATTATTTGCTCATAATTTCCGGACACTCTGTATGAAGATACATTATCGATGATTCAACCACAAACAATTAGGCTAGAAACTTGTTTTCCAGGAATAATGTGACAACTTATTTACTTCTTTTCACTTTCTTTGACAGCTCTTAGGTTTTTGGTATTTTTTGCTTTTCAGGTGATGAAATTTTGGCAGTGAACAGCAAACCTCTGCACGGCGCGTCGCACAAAGAGGCCATCAATGTTTTCAAACAGATAAGGTCGGGGTCAGTTCTTTTGCACATAGGTCGTAGGATAACGAAGAAGCCGAGAGACAAAGTCACTTAATTCTTTGTTATGGCGACTTAAACGAGTACCAAAGATATATTATGCATTATCAATCGATATGCTCCAGCATATTTGTTGAGTAACGATGTTTAGTGTTATTGGTTGTTGTTTTGCATTTTTCTATTCAATTTTTTATATATTCAATGAACTGTAACTTTATTTATGATTAATTGGTGTATTAACTAACTATATAACATCACTTGTTATGATGTATATAGTGTACATCTATAGATGTAGCGTTAGATAGAGGAACAGTTATTGATAAACTGTTGGATATATTTTAAAATATGTGATAATACGTATTTTTTGACCCTATTCAATTCGATCCTTCTATTTTTTATTTCATTCATATTATACACTACACAGGGTGTCTCTAATATATCTTTATAGAATTATATCATTATACCTAGCTTGTCCATAAAATTGATTCCTGACAAATAATGAATATTGTATACAGTGTGTCCCACTTACCATGCTCACCATGGGTATCTTTTTAACGGTGAGAGATACGAGGTCGGTTAAATGACACCGCAAATGTGGAGTTTATCAAGGCCAACTATAATGTGAAAAAATATTTTGATAAAATCTATTCGTTTTTGTTGTATACGCAAAAAACAGATTCTGATCATTTTCATGTCTCCTCCGTAACTTCTTTATTAATGAAAATATTCAAATAGGAATTTCACATTCTCATGGCAGTTTTTCATAGTGATTTCGAAAAAATATGAACTTTATACCAACTCTTCTAGAATTTGAGATATCAGCACCAACTTTAGTTTTTCAAATGTTGGTCATAGCTCACTATGACTTAGTTACAAATAACTTTTTTTTCTCTTCCAGATGATATGTCGCAGTAATAGTTTTGTGTTGATAACAACGGAGTTATCGTCATTTATACAAGAACAAAAAATTATTTGGAAGCCGCCATCTCGAATTTATAAATTTTAACAAAAAAATCATGATCTCCGACCTCGAAAACCCCCACATACCAATTTTGAATGGAATCGGACCAAATCTTGTCCGCCATCTTGGAGCAGCCATTTTTTTTTGATTTCAACAAAAATTCGAAATTATGAACACCTGTCAAATTTCAAGTTAATCGGAGTTATGGATTTTTTGTTGAAATTTAAAAAAATGGCTGCTCCAAGATGGCGGACAAGATTTGGTCCGATTCCATTCAAAATTGGTAAGTCGGGGTTTTTGAGGTCGGAGATCATGATTTTTTTGTTAAAATTTATAAATTCAAGATGGCGGCTTCCAAATAATTTTTTGTTCTTGTATAAATGACGATAACTCCGTTGTTATCAACACAAAACTATTACTGCGACATATCATCTGGAAGAGAAAAAAAAGTTATTTGTAACTAAGTCATAGTGAGCTATGACCAACATTTGAAAAACTAAAGTTGGTGCTGATATCTCAAATTCTAGAAGAGTTGGTATAAAGTTCATATTTTTTCGAAATCACTATGAAAAAATGCCATGAGAATGTGAAATTCCTATTTGAATATTTTCATTAATAAAGAAGTTACGGAGGAGACATGAAAATGATCAAAATCTGTTTTTTGCGTATGAAACATAAACGAATAGATTTTATCAAAATTTTTTTTCACATTATAGTTGGCCTTGACAAACTCCACATTTGGTGTCATTTAACCGACCTCGTATCTCTCACCGTTTAAAAGATACCCATGATGAGCATGGTAAGTTGGACACACTGTATATGATCAATTTCCTTAGGAAAATTTTATAGAAATTTGCAAAGATTCAATTATCATTATTGTGGAATGTTCCAATCATATCAAACTGAATTTAGTCAAAATAGTTTCGAATCGTGGGAAATATCGATATCGAAGTCAGAAGTTGGGAGGATATTGACAGTGGTATAATCAGAGAAAGTCCTACGTACTCCAAATATACAGGTTGTCCCGATATTACATAGACAGATTTCAATCACAGATTCTAGGAACAAAAATAGTAAAACAAAGTTCATGTAAACATGGGACCAAAAATGGCCCCCTGGGGAGTTATAGTCATCTGAAGGTGAGCCCGAGATGGTGGTTTTTTGTGAATATTTTTGAAAAATGTTGAGAATTTTCTGAAATTTTGATCAAGGGCGTAGGAAATAGGTGAGGGTAGGGACACTTTTTCCCCCAATTTCTTTGTTGATGCAATTTTTGGCAGTTTGGCGGGAAATATGAACATATCATCATTATTACTTAAAAATGGTACTCTTGTTTAGTTTTGGTACTCACCATTTTTGAGATGAATAAATTTCTAGAGTCTGCTGCGTAATATGTAGAGTACTTCTTCCCAATAGGGTACACCAAATTATTATTATTTTTTTTTTAATTGCACCTTACATATTGTGAATCAAACATCAAAAGTAGATGTTGAAAGAAGGGATATTTTCCATTGAACCAATTTTTGGAAGAATTCGGTACCCTATTAAGGAAAAAGCACTATTTTCGATCATTATGCAGCAGAATTTCAAACGATTTCAAAATTGATTTATCTCGAGAATGAGAGTACGATTTTCATGTGAAAATGTTGATTTCCATATCTCCTGGTCAAACCGCCAAAAATTGCATAGACAAAAAAGTTGGGAGAATGCCTCACCTATTTCCCACACCCATGATCAAAATTTTGAAAAATTCTCGATGTTTCCAAATAGGGCATGAATAGTTAGGTACATGTACAGGGTGATTCACCATAAATGTCCCCCCCTCTAGGTCAGTTATTTTTAAACCGATTTCAAAATTTGAAATATCATCTTGAATGATTTTCGATAAAATTTTTTTCCGCTACGTCAGAAAATACAGGGTGCTCGGAACAAACGATCTACAGAGTACTATTTGATTTTTTCATATATGGAACACCCTATTTTTCATTGTATTTTTAGATTCTCCCTGAAGAGCTGATTTGGTCAATGTATCACACTTGGGGTCTAGCGGTAATGATAACAGAGATATAGGGTGTTCAAATTCGAGATTTTTCAACTTTAGGATTTTTTTGAGACGAAACTATTCATCATCGGTCAAAACGGCTTTCATGTCCATATCTTAACTTTTGATTTAGTACCTACTGACATTTATTAATTGGAACAGATACAGGGTGATCAAAATTCTGAATCTTGAACCACACAGTAAATGTTCCAATTAAATGTCAGTTGACAGTAAATCAAAAGTTGAGATGGAAACATAGGAGCCATTTAGACCAATAATGAATAGTTTCGAGACAAAAAAATCCTAAACTGGAAAAATCTCGATGTTGAACACCCTATATCTCTGTAATCATTCCCGCTAGACCCCAAGTCTGATACATTGATGAAATCAGCTCTTCAGAAAGAATCTAAAAATACAATGAAATACAGGGTGTTCCATTTGAAAAAATCATGTAGTAGGTACTCTGTAGATCATTTGTTCCGAGCACCCTGTATTTTCTGATGCAACGGGAAAAAAATTCTGGAGAATCATTTTAGATTATTTTTCAAATTTTTAAATCGGTTCAAAAATAAGTGAGCTAGAGGGGGGGACATTTATGGTGAATCACCCTGTACAACATTTGGATATTTTATTACAGAGGGGTTCGAAAATATTCACATAAAACCATCATCTCGGGCTCACCTTCAGATGGTTTTAACCCCCTCCTAGGGGGCCATTTCTCGACCTATGTTTGTAAAAACTTTTTTACCATTTTTGTTCCTAGAATCTTTGGTTGAAAACTTTTTATGTAATTTCGGGGCACCCAATATATGTCATATTCTTCATGCACAGTAGTCTCCATTTTCAAAAATGAAATTGAAATATTGATTGAAACTTGAAACAGTATTCACTTTTAACGTCCTCTGTAGTAGCTAACGGTAAGTTTGGTATCGGTTCTATCATCCTATTTGGGCCTTAGAAATCTGAGGTATACAGATGTTTTAGATACACCCTGTATAAATGAGTTTGTAGTAGGTATTTCTATTTATTTTCATTACTAATTTCCAGATATTCTCATTCATGAACCCGAATAAACAACTTAGATATTACCATAACCTTGAAGAAATGTTAACCAGTTCAATATATCTCTAATAGTGCTGTGAACTTCATAATGGTTGAGTTATTGAATATTCGTATTTATGAAATTAATTTATTGACTAAGTTTGCAATGGAAGTTGGTACATATTTTGCTGCCTCATCTCTTAATGTTTTTTGTCTTTTGTTAAGCGTTGAAATTTTAAATACTGTCTCACTAACAATCAGTGAATCGTTTGTCAGCTGGTCTACTGCAACTGATGATGAGGCCCGACAAGCCGAAACAGTCTGTATTGCGTCAGCTGACAATTGATTCACGATATTCTCCTAGAATATCTCAGTTTTTAGGTTATATGTGTCTCATATTTGCTATTTGGTACTCAGTTCACATTTTTGTTTTTTACACCTGAAGGACTATTTTATATATTCGTTTATATATTATTTCGTGCTTTCGCAATTTTTTTGTGTGGAAGGATTCTCAGAAGGATACCAACGATAGCTGATAAAATTTTAAACAATTTATTTAGCTTAAATATAAACATTTTGTCACATGAAAATTATATTTAACAGATTATTCAACAAACGAACAGAATTCAACTAGTAATGGAAATGATTCATGTCGAATTTCGAACAAATACAAAATGATGTACATCATATATGCAGGCATCTATTAGCAACATATTTTGACATTTATAATGCTACTGCTAATTTATTTTATTTATACAGAAGGTACAGTCGTTACAAAAAGATGGACTAGCTACGAAAAAAGGCAAATTACAGTTTTCTCGGTATATTCTGTAAACTGAAATGTCTGGCGACGCAATAATATAATGTAAGACAAAAGACATTTTCAAATTGGGTCAATAAATATTGCAATCAACGAGCTCAGAACATTCACTTCGCACAGAGTGAATATTGTTTTATTGCCAGGGATATTATAAAAGTTTTAATTTTTCATCAAGTGAATTTGATTGAGATTTCTGGCAGAATACAGTGACGTAACATAGGTATACAGGTAAAGTTGCTTTGATGATTTCCTGAGCCAATACATATACAGGGTCTTCACACACAACCTCGTGTCCCAAGTCCTAACTATGGGACAAGGTATAGTACCTGTCGAACCACTTGGAATTTTCAAACTTGGAAAATTATTTATAATGTGGTACATAAACATATAATAGAAAAACACTTGGTGTACAGGGTGATTCACCATAAATGTCCCCCTCCTCTAGCTCAGTTATTTTTGAACCGATTGCAAAATTTTAAATATCATCTAAAATGATTTTCGATAGAGTATTTTCTGCTACATCAGAAAATACAAGGTGCTCGGAACAAACGATCTACAGGGTACTATTTGATTTTTTCAAATGGATTCATTGGATTTTCAGATTCTCCCTGAAGAGCTGATTTCATCAGTGCATCACACTTGGGGTCTAGCGAAAATGATTACAGAGATATAGGGTGTTCAAAATCGAGATTTTTCAACTTTAGGTTTGTTTTGTGACGAAACTATTCATTATCGGTCAATAAGGCTTTCATGTCCGTATCTTAACTTTTTATCTACTATCTACTGACATTTAATAATTGGAACAGATACAGGGTGATCATCAGAATTCTGAATCTTGAACCACACTGTATATGTTCCAATTAAATGTCAGTAGATAGTAAATCAAGAGTTGAGATAGGGACATTGGAGCCGTTTTGACCAATAACGAATAGTTTCGACACAAAACATCCTAAAGTTGAAAAATCTTGATTTTGAACACCCCTTATATCTCTGTAATCATTGCCGCTAGACCCCAAGTGTGATATATTGATGAAATCAGCTCTTCAGGGAAAATCAAAAAATACAATGTAATACAGGGTGTTCCATTTGAAAAAATCAAGTAGTACTCTCCCTAACAACACAGGGATGTCCTAGGTACGTCCCTTTTTTGTCCCGCGGTACAAGGACATGATTGGGACATCCAGGGGATGTCCTGCAGTGGTTGTTCAGTGGACATCCCGCCCGGTACATCCCTAGGTTATCCTATTCGTGTCCCTGGAGTATCTGATATCCATTTACATCAGAGTCATTGAATTTCATCAAACTATTGAGTTGAATTTTTTTGAAAATGTTTGTTTCTCTTCCGGAAAATGATTGTAACGAAAATAAAGAATAAAGTCTCAGAATTTCCTAAGAAATTACCATTTTTCGCAGACAGAAATCGTACATGCGTAATGCCCCTCATTTTTAAACACCCAAGAATGATAATAATTATACCCAATTCCTAATAAAGTTGTATTTATTCAGGTTTCTGTAGTTAAGTCCTGTTTATAAATCTGTTTAGTACATTAATCTTCAGGAGGCATGATAGCCAATGGAGCAAGGTGCGGGCATGATAAGCCAAAGGTCCCGGGTTCAATCCCTACTCGACCTGCAACTTTTTTCTTTTGTCGAAAGGATGTCCCTGGGATATCCTTGGGACGTCCTAGGGATATCCTTTCATCGTACTTGGTACATCCCAGGGACATACCAGAAGGACATCCCTTGGATGCCTTTTTTAGCGGCCAGCGGATGTCCCTGGGACATCTATAGTATGTACGTTGTCCCGACAAAGGACATCCCTGGGATGTCCTAGTATAAAATCAGGGACGTCCATGGGAAGTCCCTAGGATGTACTGGTGTTGTTAGGGCTGTAGATCGTTTGTTCCGAGCACCCTGTATTTTCTGATGCAACAAGAATTAAATTCTGAAAAATGAGTGAGGGGGGGGACATTTATGGTTAATCACCCTGTACACTCCATGAGAATTTTTCAAATGGAACCCATATTCGAATAGTGATTGTCAACAGTAAATTTCATGATACCAGATCGAAAAATATTTTTTTCGACATACTGATCCAGGAAACATCCTCCAACATATGATAAGGAAGAAATTTCCTTCTACAGTAATCAAAGATTGGGGTGGTGCAAAAGTGTGTAAAAAAAAACTATTTTCGAGATTGTCCATCCTTTTGCATGCCGTATATGAGACACCCAGCGTAATGGTATTAGCGAAGCACATGTAGATTTGGCACATATCACATAATTATACACTGTGTCCTCGCAACGCTTCCTCGCGTCAGTAGAATTGAAGCAATATCAGCAGAACGGGGTAGAGCCTCTGCATTCGGGCTAAAGAACACGCCGTCGCGTTGTCGTTCGGCGTCACGTTGTTCTGTTCGATTTCGGTGAGAGGGCCTTGGAAGCCGTTGTACAGACGTTTTTCCGAGTTCTCGGTGCTCTCGTCGGTCTCATCTTCAGTCTCTTCAGCTACGTCTACACGTTCTGGAATTTCTACTTCTGCAACAAACAAAATATACCCTTTCATGAGGACTGAAATGGGATTGTGAATTTTTAGTGCACCTATGTCCGTTCTACTTCAATCTATCCCTGTATCATCTAGGCTAAATATACAGTGTGACCCACTTTTGATGGAAACACCCCTGTATCTCACGTAATCGTTGGGTAAGGATCCTGAAATTTGCTGAAGCGAGAGATATACCAAAAATGCACTCTATGACCAAGTGGAGTCATCTTCAGTGATATACACTGCTCGCCAACAGCCATGGAACCACCCCAATTTCCGGAAAATGATATTAGGAGTCAAAATAGGTTGAAAATCACTTCGGATTCGGAATCAGGACGCCCAATTCATTAACTATTCATAGTTTTCCTGGAAAATTTTCAGTTCTGAAAAATTAAATTTTGTCGCACTTTTTACGGAAGCACCCCCGTATCTTACGTAATTGACTTTATCTTTGGACTTTCCCTTCCTCCTGCAAATTTCAGAACCATACGCAATAATTACGTGAGATACAGGAGTGCTTCCATGAGAAGTGAGACAAAATTTAATTTTTCAGAACTGAAAATTTTCTAGGAAAACTATGAATAGTTAATGAATTGGGCGTCCTGATTTCGAATCCGAAGTGATTTTCAACGTATTTTGACTCCTAATATCATTTTCCGGAAATTGGGGTGGTTCCATGGCTGTTGGCGAGCAGTGTATATCACTGAAGATGACTCCACTTGGTCATAGAGTGCATTTTTGGTATATCTCTCGCTCCAACAAATTTCAGGATCCTTACCCAACGATTACGTGAGATACAGGGGTGTTTCCATCGAAAGTGGGTCACACTGTATATTCGACGAGATCGGATCAAAACGTCGAAGAAACGTCACGAAAGTATCAGGGATGCATCAAAATGTCAAGAATTGTCGAGAAAACGAGAAAAAAGCGCCAAGAAAGCATCACACACGCCTTTGTAAATTCTTCGTCACTTTTTGACGTTTTCGACGCATGCGTGATTCTTTTGAGACGTTCTTCCACGTTTTTCCGATGCTTTTTAACGTTTTGATGTATGCGTGACGGTATCGTGACGTTTTTTCGACGTTTTGACTCATGCGTAACGTTCTAGTGACGTTTGCGAGTACTTTAGATTGGGATCAATTGAACTAAATATGACGTAGGTGCTGTACTAACGGGGGTGGTTACACTTAGAGCAAGAATACCGTATAAAGGAAGTTTGTCTTCAATCACAACTTCACAAAGTTATGAGACAATAGAGAGTTGAAGTAATCACTGTACGTAGACGTTAACGTACGAAAAATAACGTTTACGTATTGTCGTTAAATTGAGTTGAAGTCGCCACTTTGGTCGTCACTGTCATCATAACGTAATAATACTTTTTGTTTTCGGTTTGTATTGGTCATTTTTTGTTGTGTGTGCAGATTCGAACATTTATTCCTGTCAAAGTTAGAGGACTCCTTGATGCAGAACTCGTTATTGGTGATCTCGAATTTGATAATTTTGACTCATCGGCATATTTCGAGTATAGTTTGGTTAACGTACGTTGATATTTAAGGTATACGTGAAGGAACGTGAGATAACGTACACCCGTAAGCCCACTAACAACGCAAACGTGAAGAATTGGAAAATGCGCATGCGTAGCTGTCAATTTCTACGTTTATGTTAACGTTCATGACAACACTTCAACTCTCAATTAACTTTTTTAGGAAACTACATATTGTGCTCGCACATGGTTGTTATCCTGAATGATGAAAACAAAAAACGTACTCTGTGCTCTATGTGAGAAAGACTATAGGTACACTTACAAATGCCTTATACACGCGTGTAATGAAATAATGCACCCAAGAGATTGCAATATCAAATTGGTTTACTTTACCCATAATGCTATCATGTTGAAAGGGTGTACATAAAAATAGTATTACCAAGACATTGTTATTTTCCTCAACCTTGTTGTTTTCTTTAACAAGAAATTGGTTGGGTGATATAAAAAATCGTTGAGGGGTGTTTTCTTGGGATTCGCGGAGTTTGTTCAATTCCGATTGTACTTCATATTATGGACGTTGTTTATTGAATTGTTAACCGGAAGAAGGAAACTTTATCTGAATGGTGGAAAAGAGAAAAGGCGCGAACGGCAGCTATAAAAATAAAAGACAGAAAGAGCTTTCCCGGTTCGAAGAGTTAATGGTAATATATGTATTGGCTCGAGGGAAAGAATAGATCCGGACACAAAACATTTGTAAGTGAATTTTAGCAATTTTTGTGAAAAAATCCATTCCGTTTTATTGTCGCCAATTCTTGCAGAAGTCTCATCAACATTTCATAGTTTGGGAGCAGTAAATCAGAAAGTAAATGGAAGTCGGCTCTTGGTTCTCAATCTTGAGATGAATGTGGCCTTCGGCACTCAGTGGCGTAACTCAGTTTGACATTGCCAAATTTAACCATCATATTACAACCAAAGACTACTATCACTATATTAAATTGATTAATAATTGTTTCTGTTTCGAAATGTATGACTGTTAATAACTGTTGATAAATGTTTTTTTTGTTCGATATACGATGAGGTTCTAAAATGTTGCACCCAGAACACTATATAACCTACTAACATCGAGGCATTATACTGGTGATGAAAGTTCATAGTTTTTTTAGAATTCCTCGTACATTTCTGTGAACTTGCAGTTGAGACATTCTGATAGATGCACCAACTTTCATCTCGAATCAAGAATTGATATAAAAATTGTATCTTTTTTATAAACAGTACGTTTGCCAATAATATTTAAACAAATCAGTGTATCTCACTTCTCATCAAAGCACCCCTGTATATGGAATTTGAAGGAGCGAGAGAGATCTAACATTCTTCGACCAATCAGGGTCATCTTCAGTGATTTACACTGCTAGCCAGTGATTTCGGAATATAGATTACACCAATTATTTTTTACGGAAAATACGAGGGTGCTCTAATATGAATTGAGCCACACTGTATATAGAACAGAAACAATTTTTGTGAAAACATCTTTCATTAAGTACTATACCTAACTGAAAATATTCTGAAGATATCATCATACTACCCCTGAATGAATATATTTATGAATGCCATATGTGGTTAATTGGGTTTGAATAACCTCTGGTGTATATTTGGAAACTGGAAATAAAAAATAGAATACAATTTGAGTTGTTTTCATTTCACCAATCCCTGGTTATTGATTTTCTATATTATCTATCAAAAATGCAAATCAGGGTTTCCAATGGGCAAAAATCTAAATTCGATTATCAGGAGAGCAGAAATAAGGAGAGGTATGAAATCGTCTATCGTAAATGTGAAATCCGATTTCGAGCAGGCAAAAATCTCAATTCATCTATCAGGAGAGCAGAAATATGAGCAGATGTATCGGGTTGACTATCGAAAATGCAAAATCCGATTTCGAGCAGGCAAGAATCTAAATCCATGTATCAGGAGAGCAGAAATGAGAAGAGGTATCGAGTTGCGTATTGAAAATGCAAAATCCGATTTCGAGCAGGCAAAAATATGAATCCATGTATCCAGGAGAGCAGAAATGAGAAGAAGTATCGAGTTGCGTATTGAAAATGCAAAATCCGATTTCGAGCTGACAAAAATCTAAATCCATGTATCAGGAGAGCAGAAATGAGAAGAAGTATCGAGTTGGGTATTGAAAATGCAAAATCCGATTTCGAGCTGACAAAAATCTAAATCCATGTATCAGGAGAGCAGAAATGGGAAGAAGTATCGACTTGTCTATTGAAAATGCAAAATCCGATTTCGAGCAGGCAAAAATATGAATCCATGTATCCAGGAGAGCAGAAATGAGAAGAAGTATCGAGTTGCGTATTGAAAATGCAAAATCCGATTTCGAGCTGACAAAAATCTAAATCCATGTATCAGGAGAGCAGAAATGAGAAGAAGTATCGAGTTGCGTATTGAAAATGCAAAATCCGATTTCGAGCTGACAAAAATCTAAATCCATGTATCAGGAGAGCAGAAATGGGAAGAAGTATCGACTTGTCTATTGAAAATGCAAAATCCGATTTCGAGCAGGCAAAAATCTGAATCCATGTATCAGGAGAGCAGAAATGAGAAGAAGTATCGAGTTGCGTATTGAAAATGCAAAATCCGATTTCGAGCTGACAAAAATCTAAATCCATGTATCAGGAGAGCAGAAATGAGAAGAAGTATTGACTTGTCTATTGAAAATGCAAAATCCGATTTCGAGCAGGCAAGAATCTAAATCCATGTATCAGGAGAGCAGAAATGAGAAGAGGAATCGAGTTGCGTATTGAAAATGCAAAATCCGATTTCGAGCAGGCAAAAATATGAATCCATGTATCCAGGAGAGCAGAAATGAGAAGAAGTATCGAGTTGCGTATTGAAAATGCAAAATCCGATTTCGAGCTGACAAAAATCTAAATCCATGCATCAGGAGAGCAGAAATGAGAAGAAGTATCGAGTTGCGTATTGAAAATGCAAAATCCGATTTCGAGCTGACAAAAATCTAAATCCATGTATCAGGAGAGCAGAAATGGGAAGAAGTATCGACTTGTCTATTGAAAATGCAAAATCCGATTTCGAGCAGGCAAAAATCTGAATCCATGTATCAGGAGAGCAGAAATGAGAAGAAGTATCGAGTTGCGTATTGAAAATGCAAAATCCGATTTCGAGCTGACAAAAATCTAAATCCATGTATCAGGAGAGCAGAAATGAGAAGAAGTATCGACTTGTCTATTGAAAATGCAAAATCCGATTTCGAGCAGGCAAAAATCTAAATCCATGTATCAGGAGAGCAGAAATGAGAAGAGGTATCGAGTTGCGTATTGAAAATGCAAAATCCGATTTCGAGCAGGCAAAAATCTGAATCCATGTATCAGGAGAGCAGAAATGAGAAGAAGTATCGAGTTGCGTATTGAAAATGCAAAATCCGATTTCGAGCTGACAAAAATCTGAATCCATGTATCAGGAGAGCAGAAATGAGAAGAAGTATCGACTTGTCTATTGAAAATGCAAAATCCGATTTCGAGCAGGCAAAAATCTAAATCCATGTATCAGGAGAGCAGAAATGAGAAGAAGTATCGAGTTGCGTATTGAAAATGCAAAATCCGATTTCGAGCAGGCAAAAATCTGAATCCATGTATCAGGAGAGCAGAAATGAGAAGAGGTATCCACTTGCTTATCGGAATTGCAAATACTGGCTTCAAAGAAGCAAAATTCTGAATTCGGGTATCAGGAGAGCAGAAATGAGAAGAAGTATCGAGTTGCGTATTGAAAATGCAAAATCCGATTTCGAGCTGACAAAAATCTAAATCCATGTATCAGGAGAGCAGAAATGAGAAGAAGTATCGAGTTGCGTATTGAAAATGCAAAATCCGATTTCGAGCTGACAAAAATCTAAATCCATGTATCAGGAGAGCAGAAATGAGAAGAAGTATCGACTTGTCTATTGAAAATTCGAAATCCGATTTCGAGCAGGCAAAAATCTGAATCCATGTATCAGGAGAGCAGAAATGATAAGAGGTATCGAGTTGCGTATTGAAAATGCAAAATCCGATTTCGAGCTGACAAAAATCTGAATCCATGTATCAGGAGAGCAGAAATGAGAAGAGGTATCGAGTTGCGTATTGAAAATGCAAAATCCGATTTCGAGCAGGCAAAAATCTGAATCCATGTATCAAGAGAGCAGAAATGAGAAGAAGTATCGAGTTGCGTATTGAAAATGCAAAATCCGATTTCGAGCTGACAAAAATCTAAATCCATATATCAGCTAGGAGAGCAGAAATGAGAAGAAGTATCGACTTGTCTATTGAAAATGCAAAATCCGATTTCGAGCAGGCAAAAATCTAAATCCATGTATCAGGAGAGCAGAAATGAGAAGAAGTATCGACTTGTCTATTGAAAATGCAAAATCCGATTTCGAGCAGGCAAAAATCTGAATCCATGTATCAGGAGAGCAGAAATGAGAAGAGGTATCGAGTTGCGTATTGAAAATGCAAAATCCGATTTCGAGCTGACAAAAATCTAAATCCATGTATCAGGAGAGCAGAAATGAGAAGAAGTATCGACTTGTCTATTGAAAATTCAAAATCCGATTTCGAGCAGGCAAAAATCTGAATCCATGTATCAGGAGAGCAGAAATGAGAAGAAGTATCGAGTTGCGTATTGAAAATGCAAAATCCGATTTCGAGCTGACAAAAATCTAAATCCATGTATCAGGAGAGCAGAAATGAGAAGAAGTATCGACTTGTCTATTGAAAATGCAAAATCCGATTTCGAGCAGGCAAAAATCTGAATCCATGTATCAGGAGAGGAGAAATGAGAAGAGGTATCCACTTTTATATCGGAATTGCAAATATATACTGGCTTCAAAGAAGCAAAATTCTGAATTCGGGTATCCAGGAGAGCAGAAATGAGAAGAAGTATCGAGTTGCGTATTGAAAATGCAAAATCCGATTTCGAGCTGACAAAAATCTAAATCCATGTATCAGGAGAGCAGAAATGAGAAGAAGTATCGAGTTGCGTATTGAAAATGCAAAATCCGATTTCGAGCTGACAAAAATCTAAATCCATGTATCAGGAGAGCAGAAATGAGAAGAAGTATCGACTTGTCTATTGAAAATGCAAAATCCGATTTCGAGCAGGCAAAAATCTGAATCCATGTATCAGGAGAGCAGAAATGAGAAGAAGTATCGAGTTGCGTATTGAAAATGCAAAATCCGATTTCGAGCTGGCAAAAATCTAAGTTCATGTATCAGGAGAGCAGAAATGAGAAGAGGTATCCACTTGTATATCGGAATTGCAAATACTGGGTTCAAAGAAGCAAAATTTTGAATTCGGGTATCAGGACAGCAGAAATGAGAAGAAGTATCGACTTGTCTATTGAAAATGCAAAATCCGATTTCGAGCAGGCAAAAATCTGAATTCATGTATCAGGAGAGCAGAAATGAGAAGAAAACATCGTCCATTGATAATACAAAATCCAATTTCGAGCAGGCAAAAATCCAAATTCATGTATCAGGAGATCAAGAATGGGAAGGAAGGGGGCATGGAATTATCTTTTGAAATGCGGATCCCATTTCAAAAATGCATAAATAGAGATTCGCAGATCAGGAGAACAAAAATGTGAAAGGGTCATTATTCTTAGTAGATGGCGCGTCAAAAATAAATAAAATAAATAACAATAATAATAACACTTTTATTGTTCATGCAAACAAAGTGGACCATGTAAATAATATACAAAAAATTAACATAGTATATAAAGGTAGGTATCCAACAATATATACCGCCGTACCGGTTCTCATATTGTTTATATACATCTCAAACGGAGGGCCATTTTGGTTCAGAATCTTAACGTTTTCTTTCCTATGTTCTTCTCAACCACAAGAATATCTGGAATATGGGAAAAACAGCCATCACTTATTTGGGCGCACTATTCAGCAATTATAAATCCTTCAACCATAGATCGAAATTGTATTCAGATCTATGCTTCAACATATAACAACTGACTAGTTATAATAAAAAAAATAAGTATTAAACATTTTTATACTGCAACCTTTGAAAGTTTCCGATCAACCTTTTGATTTATTCCATCAACCCCCCCTCCCCAAATCGGTAGGTACCTAAGATATTTTCTCTCTACATCAAGTTTTCGAGAATATAGCTTTTGTTGTGAGAAAAAAAATTATCTTGCAACGAGGGAGCGAAATTCCTTTACGAACCGTAATACCAAATTTGAAGAATGCATTGATTTTGACTATTTTGAGGCGTAAAATTGATAGTAAGTATACCTAGTAGATATCACAGACATAACACTTGGACATTGTTGTGTCCTTACCATAAAGTCTAATAGTGCCTTCGGCATCTCCTATTGAATTTTTCGATATGCACTTGTATCCGCCCAGGTCTGATCCATGGAAATGTCTGATGATCAGCTTCATCTGCACACTGTAGTAGGAATTGTTGATTTCCGTCATGTAGTACTTGTCATTTGATATGATCATCTCACCTAAAGAAACATTCAATTATTTTCTTATTGTGACTCTACCGAACATCAATTCTGTACGAAGTTTCGTAAGAAAATATTCAACATTAACGATTCTACAGCGTGTCTCATTTCAAACGGACCCCCTCTATATATCTGCTATTAGTCGTGCTATGTTTACCAATTGGGGGTCATACATGCCAGTGCAAATTTGGTACGAATCGCACGACTGATAGCTGATATATATAGAGGGAGGGGGGCGTTTGAAATGAGCCACACTGTAGATTCGTTAATGTTGAATATATAGAGAGATATATTTGTGAAATAATATATTCTGCCTATTCGTAACAGAAATACAGGGCATTATTTGAATTTAGGGCGAAACTTTGATGAACGATATATCAGGAACTTCTCGATGTTTTCGCCTGAAATTCACCAGCAATTTACCTCTACTGACACACCACACGATGACATACTATGGAAGAAAAATTCCAGAACCGGACTTAGAAAACTCATTTTCTTTTTAAATGTCAAAAGTTCGATTTTGTGAATCGTATTTTTCAAAAACTCTTATCAAAATCAGGAAGATCAAGACAAACACTACGAGTGTAGCTTTTCAATTTGCACGGCACACTTCATCGACCGGATTGGTGAAAAAATATCAAACAAAATTCAGATGAATATTTCTTCGATTTCGTACGTGACATTACACTCTACATTCGACAAAGTATTCGAATCAGTTTTTTTTTGCATATTGATATAGCAGCAGAGTTGGGAGAAGGTATTATTAGAGAAAAGAAATCAGGACAGGGCTTGGTTTTTGGAAAGAGTAACAAAACATTATAATTTTCGAAAAAAAAAATTCTGTATCTTGATATTTTTCAACGAAAGTTCTCACAATGTCCTTCAGTTTCTATACAGCTCTAGAAAAACCGTTTCCTTTTCCTGAGTTTAAGAAAAATGTCATGGAAATCACTCCATAAATAAAAAATGTATCAGGCTGGCCCGCTCTCAACTGGGTCACTCTGTATATGTTAATACCGAAGACATCGTGTTGAATCTTATTCTATCGATTCCTGTCATGGACGTATAAACAAAGAACAGGATGATTCCTGTAGAGTCCATGAAACTTGACTACCCTGTGTAGGGTTTAGGATTCGTTGAGAAGCTATACAAGGCGTTGAAGTGCATCCGAGCGATATAGTTACGTAAAAACTCTTCCATTTCAATCTAGAATATCTTTGATATGAAATTACTGCAATCGTAAAAAATACACCAGTGACGTCCGTATCGGGTTGATCTTTCATTGCACAGCTATATTATCATTGATGTGAACGATATGTAATTTTAGTTTGTCAGTAGGCCAATGCGGACAATCAGCAATATTATGACCCTTTCATAGGGTCAACCCTAAGGGCGTCAAGATTGAGTGGAAACTATTTCCCATTTCCCCCTCGAGTTAAACCCCCGCGTCAGGGGGTTCGATTGTCCTCGACATACAGGACACAGGGCATTTTCGAGGGCCCTCGGCCGAGATGCTATGTCTACTCAGCGGCGTTGCCAGATGGTTTGTAACGAAAATATCCACTACTTATCCACTACTTATCCACTACTTATCTAATATACGATTTTATCTGATTTCATCAAATTTCCTCACGTATGATTGATTTTTAAGCGTTGAACATCAGATTGACAAATCTCGAAATATCGGCGGATCAATCGATTATTGGTTCAGAAGTATTTTATTGACACTGTATGATATTTGATATTATCTCTACTTACTGAAAGTTATTTGAATTGGTGAATTTTGAATCGCTGCAAATTGAAACTTCACAACATTTCGAATCATTGTAAAGTGTATATGTTGTAAATGTTATAACCTATAATTTACAATCACTGTATGTTACAGCATGCAGTTAAGTGTTCAAAATCATATAACTTTTAATTTCTACGATTTTTTTCAAATTACTGGTAAACGTTAGTGTCAAAGATTCGAATTACTGCAAACTATGAAATACAAATCATTTACTGGCGAGTTATAAAGTTCAAAACTTCAAATTACTGCGAGTTATAATAGCTGACTGAATTTCCCATTACTGTACGTTACAACTTATTGCACTAATTTGTAATTGTGTGACTGCGTAAAAGTTGTTGAAACCTGACCATTTGGTAATTTCGATCAACTGCAAGTTTTGAATTACCTACTGATTGCTATAACTGGAAGTTTATATATCTTGTAGTAGTTGTAGTTATCTAGTTATTTCTTTCAAATTGCTCTTGAAGTTATGAATTGCAAAATTTTGAATAGCTGCAAATAATAATTAACAGAGATTTCTATTATAGGATGTTGTAACTGAAAATTATTATACAACTTGTTCTTATTCCTTTTAAGCTGATGGAAGCTATACATTGCTATATTCCGAGTCATACAAAATTTTTAAATACTGGATGTTGTAGCTGGGATTTATAACTCGGCAGCTATTCCTTTGGAAAAGCTGGAATAAGCAATAAGTTGTGAGATTTGGAATTTCTGGAAAAACACTTCAGAGAATCTCATAACTCTTATGTTGCCAAGTGTTGGATTTTGATTTTTCGGATTACTGCAAGAAATCAGGAAACTTCTCAATCATATCCTGATGAAAAACACTTCATACATGATATTTAATAATGAACATAATTTGTGGTGCGCAAATCATACAAAATGCATCGAATTTTCGACAAGTAATCGGACAATCGTACTGGGCATAGGCAAGAGGGCAACACCGATATTACTCACCGCTCTCCCTGGTCCAGAAGTTGATTGCCTTCGGCGACGCCTCGACGTGACACTGCAGGGTGACATCGGTGTTTACAGGGGCGCCCACTAGCTGGTTCCGGACTTGGATCAGCGGGTGGACTGCAATTACAACCATACTCAAACCAATTACGGGACATGTACTCCAGTCAAATAAGGGTTTCACCTCGGAATGAGAGATAATTAGCTGGAAACTCGTATACACCTTCATCATGACGTTCTAAAAGTTGTCTCTAAAGTCTCATAAAATATCGTCTCTGCGTCGTGAGTTATTCAAGCTATGAAAGGTCGTTTTTTCGCAATTATCTAGGTTTCTTTAGCTCTAATGATATTTACACCGATTATACAAATTTTAGAGCATGACATTTGCGACAAACTTTGTTCCATACATTTTTTTCATTAGCTCAACCGTTTTTGAGATATATCTGTACTAATAATATAATATTATAAAGAGAAAAGATTTGTTTCTAATGAATAGGCTTCAAAACTACTAAACCGATTCGAAAAGTTCTTTCACCATTAGAAGCCGACATTGTCCCTGATGAGCATAGGCTAATTTTTACCGCAAGAAAATGCTTCATTCCTAAAGGAGAACGGGTAATAGGACATCGAGTAGTAAGAATTATTATCCTTTCGTACTACATTTCAGTAGACTCAGTACTAGTTGTGAACGAAATTCAAGTTGTGAAATTTTGGATTCATTCGCAATTTTATGAATGTTCCAACTGTTCACAACAATAGTGTCGATCATATTCGAGATCATATATTGGTGAACAGCTGCCACCAATACTTCTTTCCTCTTATCACAATCCGATAATTTGTGATGCCTTTATCATGGAGGTCCACTTCTCCCATATATTCATCATACTAGTGAATATCATTTGGCTGGGACATAAGTACTTCTTTATGTTTTTTTTTGGCCAAAGGTGCGTATACGCAACCATCAGGAGTACATGCAAAAATGAACTACTTCTTAAAATATTTATAAAAATTAGTACACATGTTTTAACTGTGCATATTTTCTTCCATCGATCAGCACGAAATGATGGTTTCATTTCATATTCAGTTTTGAAAAAAATATATTGTATGAAGTTGTACGTACATGAACGGTCAATTTATAACATTTTCAAGTAATTTTCATGGATTGAAGAAATTCTTTTTTGTATTGAACTATTTAGTTATTCATATACCAAGGTAGTAAAGAATATCAGTATTACCCAGGGACCAAGATTATATAGCCGAGGGGTATGAGGTCCCAATCATTTTGGTTCTGTGAAAATGAAATATGAACCTATTGTCACTATGAAAGCACTTCTTTTAGATTCTAATTAAAATCTAGTAGCCATGACCATAAATACCTACGAGTGTTATTCCTGCGAATGTCGCATAGGAACAGTGAATTAGGGTTAATTATAACAGAAGTTATTTACTAGTGGTTCATAAAATGTGAAATACTACCTACCTTGGTAGTAAAAACACACTTCACGCCTCAAAATAGAGTAAAACTATATATAGCTACTCGTGGAAAAACAGAATTTTTACTTTTTCTGTACTATTGTCTGGGTATCCATCATAATGAAAATGAAAGGTTGATCCCGACCATGAGAAATAAAAATATTTCAGAAAAGTTGCGTTTACGCATCTTTGGCCGGTAATCAGTTAAATGACTGGAGTATAATGGCGATTCCACTGATTCGAGGGCTCTATAGTAGTTCTAGTACGGCTGGACCGCTACATGGTCGCCAATCTACGGGGCGCCTCTACGTTCAGACCCCTTCGCACCTCCGATCGGGACTCGATAATGGGGTTAATGAAGCGGTTTCGGGGGAGGCGTTTTATTCGGATTAGGGTTCATTAGGAGTTGCACGCGCGGGAAGGCCTTCGAGGCAATAGCATGTGCCACTGGGACGAAAATTACTTCGAATCAAACGATATTCATTTCAATCTGACAAATAAAATTGACATAATATACATGATATTTTGTTTCGGAGCGGAGTTCATGTTTTAATCAATTAAATGTTCCTTGCATGAATTTCTCAACTTTCATAGATAGCCAAACTAAAAAAAAACTAGAAAATGAAATAATGAGAGTGTGTTGATAAATACACAACATAGAAACTACTGATTACGAAGGTGCTAATATTTTAGTTTGTTGTTTAATTATTGTTGATGTGCATTAATCAAACCATTTTCTCGACTTTTGTTAATTTAACTATTCATGAAGGCGTGTTTTCTTAGTTATTGAAACTATATGGGACCCCGAATAATATATCGGAGATGTCCGAACGGCGAAAAAATGTCTAAGAAAAATAATTTAATAATGGTGAGTATTCATTAACCCAGCACTAGTATAGTGTTCACTTATGATTACCGATCTCAAAATACATATCGATTTGGTTTGTTCGTTTCAGAAATATTGTTTTGCCTACTTCAAGTACCTTATTTTCCTACCGTTGGTGAAAATGTTCTTGCCAGTTTTACCAATGTACGATTCATTTCCTATTTTCTAGTTTGGCTGACTACAAAAGCGTGTTTTTTAATTTTTTCCATTTTTTGTAACTACAGCCCCGCAATGAATGTGTAATCCCTTGGATGTTGTAATCGTTTATCAGGCTCCCTTCCCGGAAACATTATTTCATACGAGTACTTGGTTCAAGACAGTGCAAGACATTGCCGTGTCTCTGGATGTAAAAGTCGTTCAGCCTGAAGATCAGGATAATGGATTGATGGTCAACCCAATGATGTCTTAAGTCTCTTTTTAATTGACTAATTTTTACATGAAGTGTGGTCGACTGACTTTGAGTATTTATTGTCATTGAAAATACATTAGACCTATTTGAGTATGGATGATCCATTTATCATCACGACCAGTCGAAGTGATGCCTCACCAGACTAGATCTATAATATTATTGAGATGAAAGATTTGTTCGTTTGTTTGTATTGAATAGGCTCCGAAAATACTGGACCGATTTAAAAAAATCTTGCACCATTAGAAGCTGACATTATTGCTGATGAACATGGGCTTTTTACCGCAATTGGTCGCGGTAGGTGGCGCTGCTGTCGGTACGTCAACCAGTAAACGGCTTCACCGATTGGGTTGAAATTTTAATACGCTAAACAACAAATAATATACAAAGGATACTGAGAGAATGAAAGGTGTAAGTCAGTTTATAATAGTAGCTATAGGTAAGCAAAAAAAAAACAAGAAATGTTGAAGGAAGATAAGGGTAAAAAGTAATTTCAGTTCTAACTTGGTAATGTTACTGTAGCACTCTACATTATGATTGCCACACCCGGTATTCATAGAAAAGAGGTATTTATGCGAATACAGTTTGCACACCAATGTTCAGAGGAAGACAACCTGTCATTCTAAACAAAAAACGTCGAAATGGGACAAGTAGTTATGACGAAAATGTAGGTATCTCAAACTTTTGGATACTTTATGGTGGTGAGTTAATTTTTTGGAGTAGTGCATATGATTATGAATAGAATAGATAGATAATCCACGTTGCTTGATTATTTGATTCGCGACGTTTTTTGATAGGGGAGCAAATCTGGACATTTCCTCCGATCTTTTCGTTTAATTCCATAGTTACCATCAGGGGGTGAGAGAAAGTGTATCTTTTTTCATTCAGTGGAGAATCAGCAGAGCAGAGTAGAGCAGAGGCGGAGTTGATTCATAGCGAGGAGAGGAAGGAGTATAAGTGCCGGAACGGGAAGTGGAATTTCTCACGCTTTTTAACGACTCAACACAAGAGAAGGGCCGTCGCGCACTTCACTAACATTTCTTAAGAAATGACTTTCAATTTCAGACTTTACATAATATATTTAGTGAGGCGTGTAGAAGCGACGGCATAGTGTAGATGTGTTGCGCTGAAATTCGCTCCCCCAGGCAATGAAACTTCAAGACGCAATCAAATTATTCACCATATTGTGTGGCACGGGTAGCAAAGTGAACTGATAACAAGTCCTTTAAATTGATTGACTAACTGACTTTTCTGAAATGCTCAAATTGAAATTGTTTCCCAAGTTTCTCGAATGCGATAATCGTTGATGTTTGTAACAAATCCCAGCCCTAATGGTAATGGCGCGAAAGGAAAGTTACTTAAATGTGCATAACGTGTGTTTATCAGCCAAGGTTCACATCTTTTCTGTGCGTTAACTTTCACTCACAACTTTTCTCGGCCTACATTTAACTTTTATCAAACAGCCTACGCAATTTAATTCAATGAACTTTGCGAAGAAAGTCATTGCCTGAACGTTATCAAAATATGTATCTAATATTCAAACGCTGCATACTAAAAATATGGAAATACATGGAAAACATTCTCCAAGTTGGGAATAGGAATTCGGTCCCACTTGTATCATACGAAAAAAACATGTCGAAATTATTCTAATCTAATTTCATGAACTTTGCTCCAATCAGTAATTACATAGAAAAGTTTTCCGCTTATGTTCATATTCAGCAATATAAAGAAAATTGCTACAAGCATATATAGACGAAGGTGACTAGCAAAACATCGTTAGATATACTCACAACCTCAGTTCTTAGCAAATAGTGCATTGAGTATACAAATTTTGATGCCAATGCGTTGAAGTATATCCAAAATCAATTATTGCAGAATATCCCGCACCGTGCGGCGTCGGCGAGTTTTAACTTCCCTCTGAAATGAGTGCAGGTGCGGCACGACACTCTGCAATTGTTTTTGGATAAACTTCACTCAACTTACATAGCCCTATATTTATTGTTTTTGTCTTCAGCTGAGTTTCTATCGATATGTTGAAAATATGGCATGAGAAGGATTAATTTTTATTAAGTTGTTTTCCCCTCTGCCTAATTAACCATCATCGATATGGAATCATCTGCATAACTTAAAATTATCCATGGAATGGAACATCAGCATATATGCGGAGAGTATACAAACATAAATGACTTATTTGATTGGATTACCGTTGTTTACACGTTTATAGGGAGCATCCCATTCTGGACATATGTCGTGTTGATTTAACGTATAATGTGTGTATTTTGAATTAATAAGACCGAAACTTTTGAAAAAGATAAAAGCGAATCAACATAGCCATATTGGGAAACTTGGGTGTGG